GGGGGGGTATTTAAATTATTTACCCATTAAATTGGTAATTTAATGGGTAATTATAATTAATTGAGGTAGGAATTTGAAAACTTTGTTGAATATTCAGTAAGTAATCATCAAAAAACAATCCCATAGGACAAGAAGAATACACAGTGTGTAGGTACATTGTATGTCGATCGATGGAGGTACCTGTTACCTGTTTGTAACATTGATTTACCTGTTATCAGAATGTACATGAGACAGGTCATTTTAAGGGACTATATATTGTTTGGTTTCCTGTGTGACATTCTGTGTGTGAAGAATCTATGGTATGTCTGCATGGTGTTCCTTTTGTGTCAAAGTTTTTTCACTTCAAATTTAAAGTACGCCTGATACCTGGAATTCTATGTTAGCACAATTTGTAATCGTTGACTTATGAACATCAGCGACAATTAAAAAAACCAAAAACAGGATAAGACAGGCCGCTCAGATTGATTTTAGATATAACCACAACGCATGGCGTCGATAAAGGATTTTTTAAGGAACCTTTTAGGTAAAAATATTTTAATCAATTTCAGGAACATTTAAAACAATGGATGAGTATTGTAGAAGTGTTTAAAACCACTTTATCCTGAGGTAAAGGGTCATACTGACCACACTGACTGCAAAATGTCATTAACACTATTTTGGTTTGTTGCACTGGACATGTCGCAAATTTTCTAATCGGAATGGTGCCTATGCGCTGTACTTATATCCAAATCATGGGAATTGATTCAAGATAGAAATATTTACGAACTGAAGGTCGTCATATTTAACTCTTTACAATTTACAATGCCTTGTACTTGAACACAGTTTGTTCAGTGTTCTTGATGTTCACTTGACTATAAAACTAGACCAGCTGAGGTAACATTTTCAACCGATTTGTTAATGTTGGCATGTTTTTTTTGTCTACAAAACATTTTGGCAACTATACATAAAACTTGTTTAGAAGATACAATTTTAAAGCCAAATTGTTTTAATTTCCAGCCACATGTCAATTGTCAGCCACATTGTGTTAATTGCCAGCTACACTGATATTTTTCATATACATTGTATATGTACTAAAATGCAATTGTAAATATGAGGAGATTATGATGGGATAACTGTGCTATCACAGCTTTAGTACAGTAAATTATACATGCATGTTCCAATGTTACCTCATAGCCCCACCCAAGCCAAAGGAAAGTATTCTGTTTGAAACAGGAAGTTTAATTTATTCAATCATTTAGTGGAGTTTAATTTTAGTTTCGTTGTTACCACCATGTTTAATTCCAGATGCAGATTTCCTTGTCAGATGATGGTCCAGCTACAAAGGACGATAACTTGTTCATTTTAAGCTCTCTTTTTTTTTCCTACAGAAAAAAGCTGTTGCCTTTATCTCATTTCAAGTTTTAACAATTAAGCTAAATTTTACTTCATTTTATTTGTCATGCTAATCAGGACCTACGTTTGGTGGTGAGTACTAGAATTATAGACAGGAGAGCTTCATCATGTTTCTCCTACTGAAGAAACTTGAGGTTGACCTCAAACTGCCAACAAATACACCAATATTTAAAATATATTAACTGAAAATAATCAATAAAAAAAAAAAAAAGATGAAATTCATCTTCTTCAAAATTCATGTTGTTCAAGATTACTGCTTGTAAGTAACATAACATTTATTCCTATGTACAGATTATGTTTTGAGAAATAACTCAAAATAGCGTTTTTTTTTTTTGAAATTGGTGCATTTGTTTGCTTAAAAGGCATAATAATGGTAGAAATCCAGTATACATGTGTCCATGTAAGTTAGTCAATAATGCTACACTCAGTTCTCATTACTGTACAGTAGAAATGTTCAGTGTGGAAATGCCTACATTTTGTTTTGCATTGAATAATTTTGAGGAAAAATATCCACTCACTAACATTATTTATAGGACCTATCACTTATAGATGCATAGAATAGATTTCAGAACTATTGCGAAAGTAAAAAACCTCCACCGAATGATGGGTTAAAAGAGACACAACACAGTATTTCCACACGTGAGAATTTCTGTTTTTACAGTACCTTGACACCTCGATCTGCATGGTGGTGTAATTAGTACCTGTAGTTGATACGAGCATGTAGTTAATCACACACTGCACCATTTACCTAATGTTGGTTGTCAGATCCCCAATAACACGTTTCATGTTTTACTGTACAAAATTTACATGTGTCATATGAAGAGTTCAGTATGTATATCTCAACTTCGTAAAATAATTGTTTTCCTGTATTTCAAATATGAAGTATGCCAATGTTCATTAGATCATTTTCGTAAAGTGTGGATGTTTCCGATATAGAAATTGGATACTTAGTCATGTCTGAAACCTGTAGTTTAATTGGTTCTTCAAACAGGGGATAAATTTAAAGTTTTGTAACCATTTAGACCCAGATTAAGGGAATTAATAAATTGTCTTTGTCATTCTGAGCTCTGTATTTTTGGGGGTCCATTGACAAGGATGAACACATAGTCAGTTGTGTGTGTACCGTGATGTTGTTTTGTGTCAGTATTGTGCTCAGGTGAGAACAACGACTGGAACTATGAATGATTCTGTATAGAATAATGGTATTTTGTCTTGAATTCCATACCGGCATATGTAAATTCTTTGCTGCACATCCTGTCCTGTCCAACTTCATTTTGCAGCAAATCATCTCATCCGAGACTATGACATACATTTCTGTGTTACTCTGTCTACTGGAACATGCTTTCTGTTCTCTGTAGTGAATGCAAATACATAATGGTGGCAATTATCATTTTGTAGCATGTACTTAACATAGTCTTCCTCTGTGAATGGGAAAAATAATAATATAAATATTGATTTTATCTGTGAAGGATGAATATTTTACAGGACCATAGCTATAGATATCTGTTTGAAGTGTAACCACTCTTTCGGTCTATCCAGATGCTAGTCTACCAGGTTTAGATATCTGTTTGTAGTGGGTTAATTGTTTACCAGGCTTTAGTCAACAGTATGGAGATGCTACTATAGTGTAGAACATTATGATGTACTAATCAAGTCGTAACTACTATAGATAGGACTTCATTCGGCAGGATCACAGTTTTAAAGTTTGGAACAAATATGTGGGGTTAGAATTAAAATTTTACACAACATTTGTCCTCCTCTCTTTAAAGTGCTTCAAAGGTCATTATGTAAGGGTGTCTTAATTTTTTATTATTTACCGGTTGAATTTTTCTCAGAAAAATCGTAACTGCAAAAAAAAAAAAAAAAAAAGTTGTATTCCTTTAAATGATAATTACATTTATATGCGTAGCATTTCATCATTTAGGACTTTAAATAAGTATGCAAAAGGTTTTTGTTTTTGTCAATTTAAGATTTGAAGTGACAACAACCCAAGAAGTTGTTTTATACCATAGAAAAAACAAAACATAAACATTTTCAAATTTGATTTTTGTTTAAATCCTGAAATCTCAACAACTTATTAAGTTTAACAGAATACCATATTATTCCAAATAAGACATGGCGTTACCAGGAAGTGGAAATTGTTGATCATAGAAAGTGTTTATTTCAGTTACTGCTAGCTCTAGTACTACTGGAATCAGTACTCCAGAAGACGTACCAGGTAGCCTGCACCCCGATGGCGACATTGGGCTATATATATATATATACGTATATCTAGCACACATTCTATATATAGCCATGCATGGTTTGCATGTATGCATCATTTGACAAAACATACCACACACCGTGTTTATGTTGTTGGTTGGTGCACATGAGGATCAGTAGAACACTTCTCTAACAAGGAAGTGTCATTTGAAAGATCAAATTTGTTTGGACATGTTCATGTATATAATATTCAGAATTGCAAAAAATCAAACACATCATAATTAGCACAATAAATGATATCGGTGCTAAAATATAATTCTAAAATTACAATTTTCATTAGATTTATCAAGCAAATTGTATGATACAATATTCTTTGCCTTGGTGTTAGAGAAGAAAGTTTTAATGTTCATCCAGAGAGACATTTGGGAAATGATTTGGCCAAATTTTGACTTGGAATATATAATTGTCACTGCATCACTGTATAGTCTTTGGAATGTTGAGTAGCTACTATTTCAATGTCTTATCCTCAAGCTGTATAAATCTAAAGTGAGTTCTACTAGTGGTAGATTGACTGGCTTCCACAGGCTGTTAATGAATGCAGAGATAGAAATAAAATATTTACACTTCGGATCACTGAATGACAATTAAAGCCTTTAAAAGGGATTTAAATTTCAATCGCTGGAAATAAAATGTATTTGAATTGGCACAAAAGAGGATCAACTATCATAATCTATAGCTGTAACTGGTGTTTACATATCATTCCAAATAGTGGTTAACTGGTTGTGAGGGAAACGCTGTGTCCCTGCCATTAAACAATGTGACCTTTATTTGACCTTTGACCATGATCTCAAGAACTGAAATACAGATTTCCAGGCCATATCTCACCCAGATATTCATGTTGGACTATCAAACTTGGTATGCATGTTTGTTGTGGTCAAGCGATATGTCACATACCGAAATGGGGTCACAGTAGCCTCTATTTGAGGGTATCATCAAAGCTCGCGCTTCGAGATAAATCTCACTGTCATCATCTCTGTCACATTTTTATATATAGGTCATATATTTAGATACAACACTTAATTATTATAGTTCAAAGACATTAATCACTACAAAATCTTTTGACAATAAGCTAAATCTATAGATATCAAAGAATCCAGATCAATATGGATAAAAAGTTCAGAGGTCAAACACTACTAAACCTGGAACAAGTTATTAGTTTTAAGGTCATATGCCAGTTGTACTTCCTTGAATACCACAACTACAGTAACTGAATCGGTAGATATCAAACTGCTGTGGATCAATGACCTATTTTCACCTCTCATTGCTGGGAGCCTCCGATTATAGTCAGTTATAATATTGTGCCAACTGTATGTAAGAAATAATGGATATGATATTTAAATTTTGCAATATTGTTGGTGTAAGTTAAAGTTATGTCGGTCTATGATTGTACCTGTGCAACAATGCATCTGTTGATGTAAAGTCAGTCTGCTATCCCTGTGACCATGGCCATTAGCATGGTTACAAGCTTCTACAAAGAATTACTTAAAATAAAACATTTTTACCTCACATATAACCCGATATACCAAAACAAATTAGAGTTGGAATTTCCCAATGTGGGTGCCTAGCTTCATTATTGATTTGGTTTGTGCGGATATAAAGATATAAACGGTGGATCCAGTTCTTGTTCTCCTAATTGGAGGACCTGAAGGGGCGTTGCCTTGGTTATCCTGAAAACTGTCCTTAGATTAGACATGTTTATGGCCATGGACAGAAAAATAGTTTACATGGGTTTGGTTAGTTCATAAAATCTGTAGTATATATCAGGAACAATGCTATTCTGATAGCTTGTTGAGGATGCAGTGTGTAACTTCAAAAATGGTTCCTCAAGTTCCTAAGTGACATTTTGTTGCTGCTCTCATATGGAGGTTGACATTGTTAAATGTCACCCTATCAGCTGTTGTAAATACTAAATAATATCCTCATTTTCCAGTAAACTTTGTCTATCTCTCTCTCTACCTCTGTTTGTCTATCTCTCTATCTACCTCTGTTTGTCAATCTCCCTATCTCCATCTGTATTGCATTTAGTTTCCACTTTGTCTTTGTATATACTATAAACAGATTTCTATAAGTAGACTCCTACATATATTTCTGTGTGTCTGCAGCAATTTTTATGTTACTGATGCATCTACCTCTAAAATGCAGGAATAGTGTTTCATATTTAGCAGTTTTCATATGTTTCAACATTTTCTTATTAGCACCAAAAGCATTAAGACTTTATTACCATAAAAATATGTGTTGTACTATGGTAAGAACTTCAATTTAAATGTGTAAAACAAGTAATTTGTTTTTTTTCAGTACTGGTATGACTAGTTTTATGAAAGTGAAATGTTTTAATTTATAACTTGCAAAAGAAAACTCAACATGATTTATAAAAAATTGAACCATAATCATGCATAGCAGAGTCCTATAGTTAACTTCATTTTAAAATATATATGTATTCAAATATACTTATGGCAAACGAAAACTCATTTCAGAGAATTAATTTTAGATTTTCATTTTAAAAAAACGTTTCAATTTCATCAGTATGGTTGAAAAAGAAAAAAGGAGTTTGAGGTTGTCTGTATCTATATTTGAGACGGCTTTACTGTTACTGAAACAGATCTATCAGTGATGGAGGGGATCAAACAAGTAGGAAACTGTAAAAGATGTAATTAAGTAGATATAAGTATAAAGATGGCTGGGAACATAGCATACATGAACTAATGTCAATCGAGAAAGTAATTTACATGTATATAGGATTTACAACATTTTCACCACAGACTTTGATAATCTAATTCTGTGGTACGTTTTAACTTTGTTCATTGAAATGAGTTCTCACTGACTTTCACTAAATACTGATACATACTTACCTGAACAATTCACAAAGAAAGCTGCACAGTTACCATCGTTAGTCGGTGGACAGTTCGATGCTACGACATATATTTCACTTAATAGATTATTCAGTAATTCTTTTTTTCAGCTGTTAACCTTATTTTTCAGGCATGACTTAGAATTATATTTGCAAGTAGATAAAAGAAGCTATATATGTATATATATATATTTGGTATAATACCATTTTGTTTATAAACATTAGGTAGAGTATTTAGATATGGGTGAGGTATATATCTGGAAATGTAATAGCATGATAAACAGTTTATTCTGGGTTTTTAGCATAAGCTCACCTGGCACTTTGTGTCAGGTGAGCTTATGCCGTGGCGCGTCGTCCGTCCGTCCGTCCGTCCGTCCATCCTCGTCCGTCAACTTTTCCTTTAAACAACTTCTTCTGAAGAACGGACAGGCCTAGAGTCATGATATTTGGCTGAAAGCTTCGTTGGTAGGAGCCCTACAAAGTTTGAGAACGAAAATGACCTTGACCTGTTTTCAAGGTCACAGGGGTCAAATATGTCAAAAACTTCAAACGACTTCTTCTAAAGAACTAAAAGGTATAGAATCTTCATATTTGGCTGATGGCTTCCTGGGATAGAGCCCAACAAAGTTTGAGAATGAAAATGACCTTGACCTACTTTCAAGGTCACAGGGGTCAAATGTGTCAAACACTTCAAACGACTTCTTCTGAAGAACTGAAAGGTATAGAATCTTTATATTTGGCTGGTGGCTTCCTGGGATAGAGACCAACAAAGTTTGAGAATGAAAATTAGTTTGACCTACTTTCAAGGTCACAGGGGTCAAATATGTCAAAAACTTCAAACGACTTCTTCTGAAGAATTAAAAGGTATAGAATCTTCATATTTGGCTGATGGCTTCCTTGGATGGAGCCCAACAAAGTTTGAGAATGAAAATTACCTTGACCTTCTTTCAAGGTCACAGGGGTCAAATGTGTCAAACACTTCAAACGACTTCTTCTGAAGAACTGAAAGGTATATAATCTTTATATTTGGCTGGTGGCTTCCTGGGATAGAGCCCAACAAAGTTTGAGAATGAAAACTAGTTTGACCTACTTTCAAGGTCACAGGGGTCATATATGTCAAAAGCTTCAAATGACTTCTTCTGAAGAACTGAAAGGTATAGAATCTTTATTTTTGATTGATGGCTTCCTTGGATAGAGCCCGACAAAGTTTGAGAATGAAAATGACCTTGACCTTCTTTCAAGGTCACAGGAGTCAAATGTGTCAGACACTTCAAACGACTTCTTCTGAAGAACTGAAAGGTATATAATCTCTATATTTGGCTTGTAGCTTCCTAGGAAAGAGCCGAACAAAGTTTGAGAATGAAAATGACCTTGACCTTCTTTTAAGGTCACATGAGGCAGATATGTCAAACACTTTAAACGACTTCTTCTGAAGAACTGGTAGTTATAAAATCTTAATATTTGGCAGGTGGCTTCCTGGGAAAGAGCCAAACAAAGTTTGCGAATGAAAATGACCTTGACCTACTTTCAAGGTCACAGCGTTCAAATATGTCAAACAGTTCAAACAGCTTCTTCTGAAGAATTAAAAGGCATAAAATTATAATATTTGGCTGGTGACTTCCCGGGATAGAGCTCACCAAAGTTTGCAAATGAAAATGACCTCAACCTACTTTAGAGGTCACAGAGGTCAACAACATTTTAATGGATTTGTTCTTGAGAACTAAAAGGAATGGATTCATAAGATTTGGCTGGTAGCTTTTTGGAATAGAGCTAACCAATTTGAGAAGGAAAATGACATTGACCTACTTACAAGATCACAGGGAAAAATATGTCAAGCAACTTCTGAAGAAGAATCAAAAAGCATAGAATCTTATAATAATATTTTGCTGGTAGTTTCAACAGATGGAGCCAACAAAGTTTGCGAGGGAAATATTTTTAGTGCAATATAATATTTAATGAGAATATTTTGCTATGACTGCTTAAATATTCAGGTGAGCGATACAGGGCCTCTTGGGCCTCTTGTTTATATTGGGTATATAATGTATATTAGTTGATAGGGTATTACTAACGTTGTTTCTAGATTTGAGTTCAATTACAACAGAGCAGAATTTTATTTCTATGGAACAACATTTCTATTAACATCATGAAACAATTGCCAGGTCAGTGTCTCTTTTACCTCATCGGAAAAACTTTCTTTAGACTTTTGGATACGTTTGCTTTCTAATAACTTTAATTCAATATATTTGTAATAATTACATTTTAATTTTTATTATTTGAACAGTTATGTTAAGTTGGTAAGGTAAACAATACATATATACTCGGTGTTAATGTCTACCTGTTTTGTTTCATTAGTCAGTGCAGGGGATGAGGAAAATGAGGATCGCAAAACAGGAGGGATCGGATTGGACGATATCGAGGAACAACAGAGGGATAACACCAAACGAATGTCGACCGCCAGCAATCGATCACTCATAGATTACTTTGCTAAACTGGGAAGATCGACAAATCCAACAGAAGTGATCGATCTTGATTTCGTGGAAACATTGCTGAAAAGTGGTGCTAAGATAAATTGTACAGACAAGCATGGCCAATCACTTCTACATGAGGTCAGTGTTCATACATATAAACTACCTGAACATATCTGTCATCAAATTGCAAGTTATGTTTGACTGTTCTTTTATAGGAGTTATGCCCCTTTTCTGATATCTTTTTAAAAATATTCTCAAAACTGCTGGTTATACCTCCTTGACGGATATTTATGAAACTTAGTACACAGATGACACAATTTTAATACCTTAAATAGTGGCGTTGTGAGTCAGTTCTTGTTTTAATTTTTAAATCAGAGTTAAGCCTCTTTTCTGATTTATGTTAAATTCACCTGTGGCTTATAGATCTTGTTTTAATGAGAAAATATCGAAAATGCTGAAACAAAGATATAGAAATCACTGGATTTTTACATATTGGAACATGTACTACATTTCTTTCATTGATTAGTTTCTATCAATAACAATTTTAACATAGTTGTGTAGATTCCAAAAGTATTACAGCTTATCAATACCATGACCTAACTTCTGTGATAAAGTTATTACATATGATCAGATTCTTGGATAAATTCAGTCCCATTTTTAACTCTGCGAACTGTTAAACTGCAAAAAACATTAAATACGACATGCTTTTAAATTTGTTACTTTTGTTTGGTTTAGGTGGCCCGAACATGGCACGTAGATGTGGCCAAGTTTCTCATAGAGCAGAAAGCTGATGTGAACCTGGCCGACAAGTATGGCCGCACCCCACTTCACGTGGCTGCTGCAGTCGACTACCCAGCAATGGTCAACTTGCTTATAGAAAACGATGGTATGTTCAGTTTTCACTTTTAAGAAGGGTTGTAACAGGTAAGGAATTTGAGGGTAAAATATGTACTGCCTTTCTGGCAACCTAGCTTTTCAAGTGATACAGTATAACTGGGGACCTGCTCACTAGTTCAGCGACGTCGAGCGTGGTCAGTAGCTGAATGGTTGACGACCCCCACATCACTGGGTTTAACATGAACTGGTCCTCGACCCCCACATTACAGCGTTTAACATGATCTGGTCTACGACCCCCACGTTACAGGGTTTAACATGAACTGGTCCACGACCCCCACGTTACAGGGTTTAACATGAGCTGGTCCATATATCTGTAGATGAAAATCAAGATGATGTGCATTTGTTTCTTGGGGAAAAAATGGTGAAAAGTTAAAAATGTGTATTATATGATATAACAACATTTTAAAAAACAATATGATAAACCAAATTTCTTCTGCTGCTTCCAAATTGGATGAGACTTGCTGAATCTTATTTCACAAAAGTCGCATGCAATGGAAAAAAGGTTTAAGATCCTCTAGTTAAGTGATCTAACTGAAAAAATAATTGCTGAATATTAATGAAGATTTAATATTAACTGTTGCCCTCATTATTAAAAAATATGATGTATATATCTGTTTGTATATCTAAACATTCACCTTGGTTTTCACGTTCGGTCTCCACAGCTGATATCGGTGCCAGAACAAAGGTGGAGAATCAGACCCCCATCCATTTTGCAGCTAAAAATGATGCATGTGAGTCTCTTAAGGCCCTGATCAACAAGAATTGTAATTTTGACAGCGACTTGGACTACAAAGGGAGGACGCCCCTCCATCTTGCTGCAGAGCTCGGTAAGCTTTCGGTATAGTCTATAGATTTTCATTTTATCATAGATAATCCAGTTTGTCAGACTGAAAAAAAAAAACATTTACATATATAAATTACATTAAATGATCGTAGAATAGATTGCTTTTAACAAAATGTAAGAATACAGAATATTTTCAAAAAGGGATTCTAAAAACTTAAAGATAAATATGTCTCCATGCAAACAAGACAGTGAATCCCATATGACACAAGATGTATACTTTTCGTTGTTGCTTGTTGACAGACCGGAGTGAGAGTGCCCGTCTGCTACTTGACAAGAAGGCCAAGGTAGGAAATTCTGACCTGAAGGGAAACAAGATTCTGTCCTGGATGATCAACAAGATGCCTCCTGTGGTAAGTGTTTTATGTCTCAAGTCACAAGCTCATTGACTGTTTACCTCTCTTCATTCAAATGTACCTTTGCTAAAATTCTCCTTCCATCTCCTTCAATTTTAGGTTTGAAAAGTCAGAAATTAACTGAACCTATACCTGTTACAGTTTTTTCCCCTCTGATTTTCTTTAGTTTATGTAATTGGTGCTAGCTTCCCCTTTTTTTCAGTTGAAAAACTGCATTCTTGAATGTTCAAAAAATATACTATTATAAATTGAAGTGTTTTTAAATAGTTTAATCAAACTCTGGTAGATGATTATTCATTTATGTTGCCCCATACTCCTCTAATCGCTTTGACAGTGCGTTCGTCTGTGTGTGGGAGTCCATCCTAGATTCATTGTCCATGCATCTATTGTGAAAAGATTGAGTACAAGATATTTCAGGAACCCCTGAACACATTAAGTTCATATTTCAAAGATCACATTTTCATCACTTTTGAAGTAGAAATCTTATGTACAGAATAATTCTCACAAACCCTTCATCAAATTTAGTTTATATTATACCATAGTTTGGTAAAATTCTACACCTGATTATTGGACCAGGCTAAAGGGTCACAGGCAGAGCAGGGAAGGGGAAAGGGGGCTGGGGGGTTTATATCTATGTGAGCCTCTGTTCCATAGCTGTCAACCCTCCCTCATTAGGAGGGAGACTCATTTTGACCAAAATCTACCAATCTCCCTCAAAACTCCCTAATTCAAGTCCAAACTCACACAAACTCAAAATCTACATCCTGTGGTCAAATGATCTCCTATTTAGTGCAAAGTATGTAATGTTCATAAGAGATGTATCTAAACCAGATGAATGTTTTTTGAAGTTATTTTGATACATAAAAAGGGAAAGATACATTGAGCAAAGCAGTTTCAGTTGCATTTCACACACTTCATTCTCCCTCATTGGGAATGTGGAATGAGGGAGCTACTGATCTTCCTCATTGGAGTTTTTTGAGGTTGACTCCCATATATATGCTGTTCACTTGTTTTTATTTTGTCAGAGTCAATTTTACTTAATAGCAATTAAATATTAACTGAGTTGTCAAAATGTCTTTTTTCAGGCGTATGACGCTTTGTCCCAGTATCACTCTACAGACCGTCCCAACAGGAAGCAGTATCTCTACCTCCACCTACTGGTTCAGGACAGGGGTAGGTAACTCTTTATGTCAAACTCATCTAATCTGTAGTGTAATTTATCTTTTAAGAGAGGCTTTGATGTTAAAAAATGCAAATTCATACAGGTTGTTTTGCATATTAATATACATGTATAGCTTTATGAATAGAAAATTAATAGCTGAAGATCATTATAATAAGTACATTGTTTTTTATTATTGCAGATGTTTTACATAATGTTTTCTGAGTTTTAATGCTTATAGTTGACTATTTTATACATTCTGTTCCCACAGAAATTGATCCGAAGGGTGATACTCAGATCCCAGTAAGTATCTGTATAGCCAACTATTTATCCTACCTAGAATATAAGGTGCCTCTTTGAAAATACCGGCACCCAGAGATCGTATAGGGGTGTATACTCAATTTCTCCTGTTCCTAGAATGAACCACTTGTCATGTATATTATAACAGTATCCCTATCTTCCATTGGAAGTTTCATTCTCATCAAATATATTTTGCAGGTCAAAGCCTAAATACTTTTTATCTGGATAGTCCCCCCACTGGTTCTCCTGAGGGACTATAGGTTTGCACTTTTTCCATCCTTCCATCCATTTGAAAAATTTGTCTTGGTCACATCTTCTATACTATTTCACCCGGAGTAATCAAATTTGGTATACAGGTATATGCTTAGATGGCAGAATTTACTGTACCAAAGCACTTATTTAGCCACTGTGATATTTATTTTGACCTTTGGCCACAATAATTGGAATAATATGCCCTATTTTGTATCAGGATACTGTCTTAATAGTAGATTGATCTGAGATAGGTATATATATACAAATCAGCAAGTAAAGAAGTCATTACTGGTGGGGGACTATACATTGCCTTATAATACTCTGCCCTGTTATGATATGTGACAGTCCTAAATATGGATGAAAATTCGTTGCTGAATAAAGTTGTCATGAGACATGAAATTTGCTGGAATAGAAAAAAAACATTGGATTGATATTTTTCTTTAATGAAAAATGTACTTCAAAAATCACAACTTCTTTTTATTATTTTCGACACTTTTGTTCCTTTTTTACATAAAAAATAGTTATCAAAACCTCTTTTTTAAGCTAGTCTATTTTGATTTGTTAACACAATGTTACTTGATAATTTTGCATACACTTGTCAAACCCGTCAGTTCATAGAAAAACAATTAAGCATTGGAAATAGAAAACAAATGATAGACTGTACAAATTACACATGATGAATGCCACAGGTAAAACAGATGGTAGTACGATTTGTGTGTACCCATATGTACTTGACCCTTATTTATACAACTGCTGGGGTCAAGCTGAATCAAATCTCTTTTGAAATATGTAAATCTTTATGTCAGTTTTTCCAGTCCAACAAACTGGATTATCTATGATAAAATGTGAATCTATAGACTATACTGAAAGCTTACCCAGCTCTGCAGCAAGATGGAGGGGCGTCCTCCCTTTGTAGTCCAATTAAGTCAATGTCAAAATTACAGCTCTTGTTGATCAGGGCCTTAAGAGGCTCACATGCATCATTTTTAGCTGCAAAATGGATGGGGGTCTGATTCTCCACCTTCGTTTTGGCACCGATATCGGTCTTCTCTCAGATTGGTTTTACCACAATTCCAAAAGATAAAAATCTGTTTCTAGGTATGGGAGTGTTTTTACAGCCTCTGTCCTTAGTCTATGCCTATTGACTGTAACCTGACTGTAACCTTGACTGTAACCTGACTGTAACCTAATCTGATCATGAATTGCTGTCTTATTTGTTTTGAGCTCTGGGCTCCCTTTCAACTCACCTGGCTCCCTGCCATTCAATGAAATGCTGTTTCTCACAGCATCTCTGTTATTGTATTCTTGTTAAATTCATTTAATCTGGAGATATTTTATTGTTGGATGCTACACTTACATATACCATATGTTTGAGATTGAAATGAGTCTTATTCTATAGAAAAAAGTATACATGTACCTATTTATTTTTAAACCTCTCAGAAAAAATAAATGTCCTGAAAAACCATGGAATCAAAACACAACAAGGTTACTAACTTCACATTATCTGGCAGTACATTTTTTCATATATTCTGATGGACAGCTTTTATCATGTCTTGTGTGTTTTAAGTTAACAATGGGCTCAGCAGTACTGGTTAATGAATGGATATAACTTGATGCATCACTTTTAAAACTTTTGCTTGACAAATTATACATTCAGTTGTTTTTCCCTTGCAGCTGCAAGTTGCAGTCAACTACAAGCAGTACGATTTATTGATGCATCTAGTCTTCTCAAGACTCATTAATGAAATGTGGTGCAAGTTTGCAAGGTAAGACATGTCATGGTTTTTTTTTAATGATATCATTAATATTTTTGTTGACATAAAATTGTTTAATAATTATCTAATTCCCCCCCCAAAAAAATTGCATGTGAAAAAAATCTTAGACCTTCAGTGTTATGATAGGGAAATATCAATGGTCAATTGAGGGTCTAGAACGTTGGTGAAAACTGAGGCTTTCAGAGCCTCTGACCCCGAATTCCACACCCAAGAATAACAATGTTCACAGCCTCGTGCATTCTGACAGAGTTATTGACCCTTTTTCTCCTGCCTCTTACCCAGAATTTCGGTGAAACATTATACAGCAGAAAACACCATAGTATACCTGAAATTTAAAGAAGCATGAAAGACATTCGTTTCAAGCCTGTGCATTAATTCATATTTCAATGAAACAAGTGTCCGTTGGTGATGGCATGATCGCTGTTAACAGAAAAACTTTCAATGGAAACATTTTGATGAAACGTCATCATCTGATTGAGAAAACATACGAAAAGTCACATTTCACATAGATGAGGGTTATATAGGACTTATAGAGTCTATCATCATAGGGAGGATTGGGAAAATTCTATCTGAGGTATAGATTTATAGGGTCAGAGCCATGGCAATTCTCAGGCCGTATTTCCATATCCCCCCCTCCCTAGATAATGAAAGACTATTTATTCTGTCACTTCATAGCCAGGAATTCAGTAAAAACTAAAATAAGACATTGCGAATGCAAAATTTTTATGTAGAAGATTTTCTACATAATATACTAATCAAAAAGAACTTTTTTTCAAAGAACAGGAAAATATATACATGTAGTATATCAGAGCTCGAGGTATACTTGAAGTTAAAGCAGTCTGCAAAAGCTTTACAGCAGGTTTGTTTAAAAATAGTTTATTTCTATATGGCTGATAGAAAGTATTCTTACCCTTACCAAAATATCAATTTAATGACATCACATATCACATTGAAACTGTTAAGCCTAGGGAATACAGTCAATGCCATATGGTTTCTTCAATAACGGAAAAGTTTGGTCCTTTGACCCTTGTCTGGATACCCAAAAGTATGCAGGGTAATTGATTCAAAATGGGTTACATTAGTTCATAAATTCAATTACAACAGGCAAAGGAGGGGGTACCACATTAAAATATCAGAATGTCAGCTGACACACATTACAGATCATTTTGAACTCCGCCTTTTGTTTTTATGCTCTGCCTAGAAAAAAATTCAACAAATGTATAGATACCAAACTTGGGGAAACCTGATGCACCAATGTGGGGTTAATGTAATCTTTCAAACTTTGGGATAAGATAAGGAGATCTCAGTCTGAGGGGGATGAGATTCGGAAGTTGTTAAACCCCAGGCTTGCCGATTGCTTGGCAACTGAAAATCTTTCCCAAAAGGTTGAGATCCTCCATTCAAACTCCAAGGGAGTGAAGGATCCGTTCTCTCTCACCCTGTTGGCTCTGTCATTTATAGAATGTGATGTTGATGTTACATGCTCAATGCATTATTGATCAAAGTGACATTAATGCATTGTTGAATGTCAATTTTTTTACAAACTTATGTAAAATAAGTGATTATGTTATTACCGAGATATTTACAGAACAGATGATAATGAGACCTTGGCCCATACTCATGAAACCTTTTTCATGCTCAAACATTGATTCTGTAATCAGACTATCTTTATTGTAACTCACTTAGAAAATGTAAAATGATAAAAAATTCAAATGTTAACAGTGACAACAGTAATTTGGCTTTTAAGTCTTTTTTTTATTTTTTTATTTTTTAAAAACTGGAACAAAAAATTAGGATTGAGCACAAAATCTATGATTGAGCATGAGAATGGTTTCATGAATATGGGCCCTGTTTGTATTTTAGGTGGTGAGCCTATGATTATAAGACTTGTTTGTATTTTGGATGGCGAGCTATGATAATAAGATCTGTTTGTATTTTAGGTGGCGATCGAGCCTATGATAATAAGATCTGTTTGTATTTTAGGTGGCGAGTCTATGATAATAAGATCTGTTTGTATTTTAGGTGGAGAGCCTATGATAATAAGACCTGTTTGTATTTTAGGTGGCGAGCCTATGATAATAAGACCTGTTTGTATTTTGGATGGCGAGCTATGATAATAAGACCTGTTTGTATTTTAGGTGGCGATCGAGCCTATGATAATAAGACCTGTTTGTATTTTAGGTGGCAGGCTATGATAATAAGACCTGTTTGTATTTTGGATGGCAAGCTATGATAATAAGATCTGTTTGTATTTTAGTTGGCAAGCCTATGATAATAAAATCTGTTTGTATTTTAGGTGGCGAGTCTATGATAATAAGACCTGTTTGTATTTTAGGTGGAGAGTCTATGATAATAAGACTTGTTTGTATTTTAGGTGGCGAGTCTATGATAATAAGACCTGTTTGTATTTTAGGTGGAGAGTCTATGATAATTTATATACAACTAAACACGCAAGAACAGTTTAACCTGTTTATTACTACAGTTATAATACATACAAGCTACAAGTTTGGCGTATCAGGGGCTACTCACTCTATACCAAAACGATTAAACTTACTAATAGGATATTTAAAATTTAAAGAATCTGGACTCTGAGGTGTCCCAGAGTAGCTAGCTACATGATCGAGCAAGACTCCAAAGATACAGAGAAGCAACTAGACCCTGGACGATTCCAGAGAAGCTACTAGACTCTGCGAGCGACCCTGGAGAAGCTGCATGAGAAATGGAATATTCAACGACTACGGCTAGACCCTCAACGATATGAGAGAAGCTGAATATGTTAGCTAGACCCTCAACGATATGAGAGAAGCTGAAACATACTGTCGTAAAATACTACATGTATAATATTATTATAAGATTGGGGGTAGAATTCCCCAAGAATTAAATGCCAAAATTGAACTATATGTTTCAACATAGAGTGAGAGCCCCCAATAAATAATAATAGAATTTATAAAGGATCTTAAAAACAACTGAAACAGTTGGTAGTCAATACCCTAAGTATTTTTTTTTTTGATATCCAAAACCCAATAAAAACTGGAAATCATAAATATCTGTCCCAGGCCGAAAAAGAAAAAAGAAAACCCAACCATGCTGTTCTAAGATCGGGAGGACATCTTCTGCTGAGCTCGGCAGATGGTAGCAGGATCTATGCGAATGTAACGTATGAAACAATCAGATGACCACCTACTAAGGGTCTGTATAACGTGATCTTCCACCCCAGCTGCTGCGGCTGAGGTACTGGCTCCGATACGAAAAGAATGACTATTAAAGGGCTGATTATCAATGCCAATCCGAGACAATGTCACCTATAAACATGATATAAACGTATGACGCATAAGAGGTCTAGCAAGGTGAACCTAGTCTACAATCAAAGGAGCTGGAGGAACAGCACCTTACGATAACCTGAGATTCAAGTATTTACTCATATAGTAAACACAGGTTTTAAGACACTCTTTTCATAAATATTAATATCTACTCCTCTGCCGAATGGCCTACATGGGTCTGTCTTAAGACGACCTCAAGGTGAGAGTATAGCAGGACAAATCTGGTTAAACACAAATATCGCAAATACGAATGAAATTGGTATCACATATTGATTACATGAAAACTTGCCACATTCTAAAAACCATAAAAAGCTGCTTTAAAATACATGATAACATGAGATCAAAAAAAAAAAGAGGGTTAAACATACCATGCTGTGTAATAGCATCCACATTTAGTTACTAATGTACATGTTATAGGAAGACGTTTAAAAAGCAGTATTCACTTGCGTCTTCTTGATAGCACGCAAAATGTACGACAGTCTAAGGGTGTTGGCAGTAGGGTCACCCAATTTCTTTTTAATGTAATGAAACCTGATACCAGCCTGGTACAATTTAATGGTGTTAAATTTGAGATGCAAAGCCTTCTGACAATGTGTAACAAAGTTGCGCATCCGGGGCTACTCCCTCCAACAGCTAGACTCTGAAAATGTCTCCACTCCAGAGAAGCGACTAGACTCTGGTTGTGAACACTCCTAGAGAAGCCATGATGCTGGACTCTGAAAATGTCTTCAGAGAAGCGATTAAAACTCTGATTGTGAACACCCCTAGAGAAGCCATGATGCTAGACTCTGAAAATGTCTTCAGAGAAGCGACTACACAGCCCAGAGAAGTGAACAGCTAGACTCTGAAAATGTCTCCAGAGAAGCGACTAGACTGATTGTGAACACCCCTAGAGAAGCCATGATGCTAGACTCTGAAAATGTCTTTAGAGAAGCGACTACCAAGCCCAGAGAAGTGAACAGCTAGACTCTGAAAATGTCTCCAGAGAAGCGACAAGACTCTGCTTGTGAACACCCCTAGAGAAGCCATGATGCTAGACTCTGAAAATGTCTCCAGAGAAGCGACTAGACTCTGATTGTGAACACCCCTAGAGAAGCCATGATGCTAGACTCTGAAAATGTCTTCAGAGAAGCGACTACACAGCCCAGAGAAGTGAACAGCTAGACTCTGAAAATGTCTCCAGAGAAGCGACTAGACTGATTGTGAACACCCCTAGAGAAGCCATGATGCTAGACTCTGAAAATGTCTTTAGAGAAGCGACTACCAAGCCCAGAGAAGTGAACAGCTAGACTCTGAAAATGTCTCCAGAGAAGCGACAAGACTCTGCTTGTGAACACCCCTAGAGAAGCCATGATGCTAGACTCTGAAAATGTCTCCAGAGAAGCGACTAGACTCTGATTGTGAACACCCCTAGAGAAGCCATGATGCTAGACTCTGAAAATGTCTCCAGAGAAGCGACTAGACTCTAATTGTGAACACTCCTAGATATAGAGAAGCCATGATGCTAGACTCTGAAAATGTCTCCAGAGAAGCGACTAGACTGTAATTGTGAACACTCCTAGAGAAGCCATGATGCTAGACTCTGAAAATGTCTTCAGAGAAGCGACTACACAACCCAGAGAAGTGAACAGCTAGACTCTGAAAATGTCTCCAGAGAAGCGACTAGACTGATTGTGAACACCCCTAGAGAAGCCATGATGCTAAACTCTGAAAATGTCTTCAGAGAAGCGACTACCAAGCCCAGAGAAGTGAACAGCTAGACTCTGAAAATGTCTCCAGAGAAGCGACTAGACTCTGATTGTGAACACCCCTAGAGCAGCCATGCTGCTAGACACTGAAAATGTCTTCAGAGAAGCGACTACACAGCCCAGAGAAGTAAACAGCTGGACTCTGAAAAAGTCTCCAGAGGAGTGACTAGACTCTGATCGTGAAAACCACTAGAGAAGCCATGCAGGATGAGAGCAGCTAGACTCCTGTGAAACCAGAAAAGCTGCAACCAGAAATGGTTTTATTGGCCCGGTCTAGTAAAGGATGTTAAGAACTGGTGTAAGGCCTGTGACTCATGTGCCCGCAGGAAGTCTGGTCCTACAAGAGGCCGAGCCCCTCTGTCCTCTTCGGTTCCAGTGAGGGCTCCATTAGAGCGAATTGCTATATAAAATGTACACCCTAGGTGGGCTTCAAACTATGGAGAATGGAAATCATTACATTATAGTGGTGGGAGATTGTTTCTACAAGTGGGCGGAAGCATATGAAATCACACCGCACAAACAGTAGCTGACAAATTAGCCACAGAGTGTATCTGCATGATTTGGTGCACCTGTCGGTATCCATACAGATCAAGGTCGTGAGTTCGAAACTGACCTATTCAAAGCTATTGAGAGAAGTTAGGGATAGATAAAACTAGTACAACCCCCTACAATCCGATGGACTTGTGGAAAGGTTGAATCGTACCCTAATTCAAATGCTATCGGCCTTCGTCAATGAAAATAGGAATGATCACTTACCCTATGTGATGATGGCGTATGCGTATAGTGCCACTAGGCATAGTAGTACTGAATGTAGTCCAAACCTAGTTATGTTGGGTCGTGAGTTGTCATGTCCTCTAGATATTAAGTGGGCTTACCAGCAGAAAATGAACAAATGAATTGAATTTTTACGATCGCGGCGTGGCACATGTGTGTATTAGCATGTAAAGTGAAGAAAGCGTCGCCAGATAATATCGTTACAATTACCTGCTAAAGTAAGCGACATCAGAAGATGTGTTATTAGTAAGGCTTTTATTGATATACCTTCCAAATTTCAGCTCGATATTTGAAAAAATGACCGAGTTATAATAAATTTATCATTACAATCGGCGTTTGAGTTGTACATGGGAAACTAGGAGAAGCTGCACTTGACAGAAAATGCACTATGATCGGAAATCAGAGGAGAAGAAATACTGAAAATGGAAGTATGTGTGCACGTGTGATGAGGTAGAGTGGAGTGATGAAGTAGATAGACACTGAGATTAGAGTAGCTCCCAGTATTCCAGGGAGATACCTCCACGTCAGACTAGGGTTGGCAGGAATGTGAAGCCGTCAAGTAGATACTCTCCATAGTAGCCTTGTGGTTGCGTGAATTCGTCCTCGAAACGTCTGTATGCCGTACCAAGAGTGTACTCCTGTTGTGGTTCACTGATGTGGCCATCAGTCCCTCTCTCGCTACCGGCGGCTGCTGCCACTGGAAGCCTGGATTGGGAGTCTATTCTATTTCCAGTCGCTGATAGCACTCCTGTAGTGTAGCTACACTATCTGTTAAGCTTGTACCAAAGAGTAAATGGTTATTACTACTCGACGACTCGGATTCGTGTTGATATGCAGTGGTGTTTGTTGTTACAGACTCTCGTGAAACTTCCTGTCCGCCATCTTGCCGCGATGCATTATGGTATACCGCAACTCTCCTGTGATGTGCGACTGGGGCAGAAGTTCTCGCTTCCCGTAAACCTTGCAACTGGGGCAGAAGTTCTCGCTTCCCGTAACTTCTTAACTAACCCCATACGCCGAGATCAAAACATAAACGGAACGTTGAGAGAATAATCCAGGGTCGTACGGCACAGGCCTCGTATTCCTGCCCATTGTAAACAAAACGTCTTCGACGATAGTAACAAAGTATTCTGTACAGTTACGTAAACAGCACAAAGTTTAATCACGAAGGCACAGCGTACACATCGTCGGTAGGTCTATACGAAGCACTCAGGCGTGGTTTAAAGGAAACACGTCACATAAACAGTTGCGGGGAGGCTAGTACGAACAGAAACACTTGAGAAATCATGTTACAAAGTACGTTCCAAGATGGCGATAACACTTCCAACTCCTCGGGAGGAAAGTCCAAAGAGGTTACGGTAACCAAGATAGACCTTAACTGTAGCTATTAGGGTGTCCTTTTTAGCCAAATATCGTTAGTGACTATATTACACAGGTAAATCCAAGGATGTTCGTTAGTTTTTCAAGGAATTTTAAACTTGAAAAGCCGAGAAATAATGCACAACAATCTCCTTCAATGATTCAGAAAACTATGCTGTGGGGGCTCCAAATCCCTAACAGGGCATTCCCTCAGGCAGACGCTGATTGGTCAATCAGCAGCATCCCTCTACTCTCATTAACATACATGCTAATTGGCAACTACATAAATACATACGACCTACATTACAGAAAACAGAAAACATAGGCAGCAAGGCAAACTCATTGTATATAAACTATAGTTTAATATTAAAATATCAAACTATCATTAAGACTTGTTTGTATTTTAGGTGGCAGGCTATGATAATAAGACCTGTTTGTATTTTGGATGGCAAGCTATGATAATAAGATCTGTTTGTATTTTAGTTGGCAAGCCTATGATAATAAAATCTGTTTGTATTTTAGGTGGCGAGTCTATGATAATAAGACCTGTTTGTATTTTAGGTGGAGAGTCTATGATAATAAGACTTGTTTGTATTTTAGGTGGCGAGCCTATGATAATAAGACCTGTTTGTATTTTAGGTGGCGAGCCTATGATTATAAGACTTGTTTGTATTTTAGGTGCCAGGCTATGATAATAAGACTTGTTTGTATTTTAGGTGGCGAGCCTATGATAATAAGACTTGTTTGTATTTTAGGTGGCGAGTCTATGATAATAAGACTTGTTTGTATTTTAGGTGGCGAGCCTATGATAATAAGACCTGTTTGTATTTTAGGTGGCGAGCCTATGATTATAAGACTTGTTTGTATTTTAGGTGCCAGGCTATGATAATAAGACTTGTTTGTATTTTAGGTGGCGAGCCTATGATAATAAGACCTGTTTGTATTTTAGGTGGCGAGCTATGATAATAAGACTTGTTTGTATTTTAGGTGGCGAGCCTATGATAATAAGACCTGTTTGTATTTTAGGTGGCGAGCTATGATAATAAGACTTGTTTGTATTTTAGGTGGGGAGCCTATGATAATAAGATCTCTTTGTATTTTAGGTGGAGAGCGTATGTCCAGTTTTTCCTGAACTTTGTGTACATTTTACTGTGGTCAGTATTGGGGGTTATGGTGGAGTACAACGAACGTCATATCTACAAACTGCCGGAACATTGGTGGAGGATAGTGCTTCTGGTCAGTTATAAAATACAGTCAACATTTACCCAACATACCGTAACAATGACTGTTTTCAATATTGTTAAATTGTTGACCACCATTGTAATGTTGTCTGCTGTTTAAATACTTCACACAAAATGTCCCCCAAGTTTGTTCAAATGAATGACCTTGACACGCTTTCAAGGTCACAGGGTAAATTCCCCAATAAATGAAAAATAGTAAGAAACATCCAAGAGAGACAAAGGTGTGTTTCTGCCATATGAACTCTACTGTAAGATACACACCTGTCACCTGCTTCCCCACAGGTGCATCGCTACCTTTTACTGCATGGTTTCAGGGTAGGAATATTTTGACTATTTAAGATTGCCTAAAATTGGTCAGTTTGATTTGATAATAGGCTATGGGTTGTTTAGTTAAGCTGAAATGCTTTGTTTGAAAATGTTAAAAAATATGGGAAATAATATTAGAAAACTTTTAGAAAAATTAGGTAACTCTGCTTTAAACAATTTAGTAAATTAGTAGTATAGAATGATTTATATCTTTTTGTAGGCTGCAGCCATTGCTTTCACCATCTACCAGGTTGTAGAGGAAATAAACGAGTACAGACAATCTGTTCGGAGACACAAGGTAAATTACACCATGTACCAGGTTACACAAAAATAAAGGAGTAAAGAAGATTGATTTCCAAGCAAAAACAAAACACAAATTACATTCAGGGCTTTCTTGCCAACAGAGTGCTGGTTTTGGATTGGTTTTCAGGTTTTCATGTCAAAAGTTAAAGGTCAAGGTCATTGTTACTAGAATGTTGATTGATGATACAGTATATAGGTATATACCAGGTAAGCAGATCAGTTGTCTCCCTTACAGGCATGGGAAAACAGAAGGACGAAAGATATAGAGCAAGATTTGCAGTTCTGTCATCCACGCTGGCCTGAGGAGGAACTCTTTCTGAACTCTGAACTCAAAGATTTGGATAAAACATCTCCAAAATATTTCAAAGATTACTGGTGAGTTATCATTTTACTATTTCTGAAAGTGTGCATAAAATAAAAAGTATATACATTGTATATAATGCATTATGTAACTGGAAAGTAATTCCAGCTTATTTGGAGGGGATAGGATGGCAAACTGACACATGTTGGTTAAGTTCTATGTATAGATTACTTTCTACAGTAATTCAAAGTTCCTAATTTATTTGTACATGTGAATTGGTTTTTGGTTGAGATATATGTTATAGGAATTTACTTAGATCAATGTTTGTCTTTTACATTTTAGTTGGAAGAGTGAACCCTGGTATTTGACTGGGTATAGTGCCCTGTGACATTTTGTTGTACGTTCTTGTATAAGAAATGTTGGTTATTATATTTGTATGTAAATCTGTGACATTTTGTGTTGTAGGAATGTATTTGACTGGGTATGCTACGGTTTCCTGTTTGTTGTGATTATCACCCACTTTGTAGATATAATGCAGCACTCTGAAGACCTGGCGCGATTCCACATCAGTGTGATGGCCATCACCATCATCTTGTTGTGGGTCAGACTTGCCAAATCTGCTCGTCCTTTCTCTCTTATAGGTAAGTTAATCGCGTCTCACATGAAATACCATATTTATCCTACAGTAATCCTAGGGAGTCAACACACAATATGGGACTCAAAGTTAGGGAATTGGCTTTCTACAGTACATTGTTTAACATGTTGGTATTTCTACTGAACCACAATAGATGTGGGTGGGCTTATTACCAGGCATAGACTTATTGCTGGGTAAACATCATAATGAAAAGTAGCAGTACAATGTATGTGAATATAAAATGTAAGAGTATATCAATAAAATAAGCAAAACAATATCTTGCACCACATGACTGACATGTATATAATGATATACAATTAATTATTTTAGTTACAATTATTCTTGCATTCTCCTCGCAGTTAACACACGCATTTTTATACAAATGGTTTTTAACATATTTATTGGTTTTCTCTGTTCAGGACCTTTCATTGTGATCCTGGGACACATGCTTAATGATCTGTTGAGATTTGCCTTCCTATATCTCGAGTTCTTCCTGCCATATGGTAAGTAATACCACAAGAAAACCTTGTTATACTGCCACCATTTGTCCAGATAAGTTATTGGTGTTATTAAGTGATTTTGCGATAAATTGAGGGAAATGTACAAGAATACTTCAGAAAAAGAGAAAAGGGGGCCTTGGAATATATGATGTTGGTAAGCGAGGTGGTAATTAAATGGAATGAAGGACATTTAATATCATGTAAGTTTTTACTGTATGTGGTCGGGTGGTGAGTGGATACCACACTTGCTTTTCACAAAGGCGGCTGGGGTTCCTTGATCCGACGTGAAAAGGTATGGGGTCACCTGCCAGACCGCGTGGGTTTTCTTCGGGTACTCCTGTTTCCTCCCACATTAAGACCCCGCGCGCGCTAACATCCAGGTCAACAAGAGTGATTAATAGAAGTTGTAAAAACTTATTTCATAATTGTTGTAAAATAAATAAAGTTTATATTTATCTTCTTGAACTCAAAAAAGTGTAGATGTAGTATTTGAAACCTTATTGAAATACTTCTGACATCTTGGAAGTATTAATAGGGTGTTTTTCTGATTTCAAAAGAATATGACATTATTTTTATAATTTTCAGTTTGTGCCTTTTGGATGATATTTGGCGGTACACGTGTGGCATACGCAGATCGATACATTCCCAATGCCAACGCCACCATAACTGTACCTGGCTTCGAAGATTTTAATGCTGTTCTGTTTACTATGTTCCGTCTTACCCTGGTGGACGAATACCAATATGATGTTAGTAGACTGGCCTAGCTTAGTTGATGTAATAAATACACTGTTGGTTATTTATGCATGCCTTGGTGTTTACAGCTTTGTTGTTATAGTTAATGATACATGTATGCTGTTGGTAAACTGGTCTACAATATTAATGTAGCTGTTTGTAACTTTATAAATCCTTGTATGCTGTTGGTAAAATTGGATGTTTCGACATATGTTACATACACGTTATTAAACTGCATAACAGGTTTAGCATGTTTCGAGATAAATTCATTTTTCAGCTTTTTTTTAGGGTCTCTATGTTCAGAAAGCACAATTAAGATGATGGAGAATATGTAATTGTATCATGATTAATTTGTTAACAGGATTTGAAGTTAATTGATCCCATCATGACTGATATTCTGGTCGGAACATGGCTGGGCTTGTCTGCTATTATCTGTCTCAACCTGTTCATTGCTCTCCTGTCCGATACCTTCCAGAGGTAAGAGTCCTTGACCTACAAACCTAAATATAAATGTAAGCTTGTTCTGAGTGATATGTTACAGGGTATACGACAATACATTGTTCTGAGTGTTATGTTAAAGAGTATACGACAATACATTGTTCTGAGTGTTATGTTCCAGAGTGTATGACAATACATTGTTCTGAGTGTTCTGTTACAGAGTGTATGACAATACATTGTTCTAAGTGGTATGTTACAAGAGTATGTGACAATACATTGTTCTGAGTGTTTTGTTACAGAGCATACGACAATACATTGTTCTGAGTGATATGTTACAGAGTGTATGACAATACATTGTTCTGAGTGTTATGTTACAGAGTGTATGACAATACATTGTTCTAAGTGATATGTTACAAGAGTATGTGACAATACATTGTTCTGGGTGTTATGTTACAGAGTATACGACAATACATTGGTCTGAGTGTTATGTTACATGGTATATGACAATACATTGGTCTGAGTGTTATGTTACATGGTATATGACAATACATTGGTCTGAGTGTTATGTTACAGGGTATGTGACAATACATTGTTCGGAGTGTTATGTTACAGAGTATACGACAATACATTGGTCTAAGTGTTATGTTACAGGGAATACGACAATACATTGTTCTGAGTGATATTTTACAAGAGTATGTGACAATACATTGTTCTGAGTGATATGTTGCAGAGTGTATGACAATACATTGTTCTGAGTGTTCTGTTACAGAGTGTATGACAATACATTGTTCAGAGTGTTATGTTACAGAGTGTATGACAATACATTGGTCTAAGTGTTATGTTACAGAGTATGTGACAATACATTGTTCTGAGTGTTATGTTAAAGGGTATACGACAATACATTGGTATAAGTGTTATGTTACAGGGTATATGACAATACATTGTTCTGAGTGTTATGTTCCAGAGTGTATGACAATACATTGTTCTAAGTGATATGTTACAAGAGTATGTGACAATACATTGTTCTGGGTGTTATGTTACAGAGTATACGACAATACATTGTTCTAAGGGTTATGTTACAGAGTATACGACAATACATTGGTCTAAGTGTTATGTTACAGAGTATGTGACAATACATTGTTCTGAGTGTTATGTTATAGAGTATACGACAATACATTGTTGTGAGTGTTATGTTACAGAGTATGTGACAATACATTGGTCTAAGTGTTATGTTACAGGGAATACGACAATACATTGTTCTGAGTGATATTTTACAAGAGTATGTGACAATACATTGTTCTGGGTGTTATGTTACAGAGTATACGACAATACATTGTTCTGAATGTTATGTTACAGAGAATACTACAATACATTGTTCTGAATGTTATGTCACAGAGAATATGACAATACATTGTTCTAAGTGTTATGTTACAGAGGGTATGACAATTCATTGTTCTGAGTGTTATGTTATAGAGTATACGACAATACATTGTTGTGAGTGTTATGTTACAGAGTATGTGACAATACATTGTTCTGAGTGATATGTTACAAGAGTATGTGACAATACATTGTTCTGAGTGATATGTTACAGGGTATACGACAATACATTGTTCTGAGTGTTATGTTAAAGGGTATACGACAATACATTGGTATAAGTGTTATGTTACAGGGTATATGACAATACATTGTTCTGAGGGTTATGTTACAGGGTATATGACAATACATTGGTCTAAGTGTTATGTTACAGAGTATGTGACAATACATTGGTCTAAGTGTTATGTTACAGAGTATGTGACAATACATTGTTCTGAGTGTTATGTTACAGATTATACGACAATACATTGTTCTGAATGTTATGTTACAGAGTATACTACAATACATTGTTCTGAATGTTATGTTACAGAGTATACTACAATAGGTTGTTCTGAATGTTATGTTACAGAGAATACTACAATACATTGTTCTGAATGTTATGTCACAGAGAATATGACAATACATTGTTCTAAGTGTTATGTTACAGGGTATATGACAATACATTGTTCTGAGGGTTATGTTACAGGGTATATGACAATACATTGGTCTGAGTGTTATGTTACAGGGTATATGACAATACATTGGTCTGAGTGTTATGTTACATGGTATATGACAATACATTGGTCTGAGTGTTATGTTACAGATGTATGACAATACATTGTTCTGAGTGATATGTTGCAGAGTGTATGACAATACATTGTTCTGAGTGTTCTGTTACAGAGTGTATGACAATACATTGTTCAGAGTGTTATGTTACAGAGTGTATGACAATACATTGTTCAGAGTGTTATGTTACAGAGTGTATGACAATACATTGTTCTAAGTGATATGTTACAAGAGGATGTGACAATACATTGTTCTGAGTGATATGTTACAAGAGTATGTTACAATACATTGTTCTGAGTGTTATGTTACAGATTATACGACAATACATTGTTCTGAATGTTATGTTACAGAGAATATGACAATACATTGTTCTAAGTGTTATGTTACAGAGGGTATGACAATTCATTGTTCTGAGTGTTATGTTATAGAGTATACGACAATACATTGTTCTGAGTGATATTTTACAAGAGTATGTGACAATACATTGTTCTGGGTGTTATGTTACAGAGTATACGACAATACATTGGTCTGAGTGTTATGTTACAGGGTATGTGACAATACATTGTTCTGAGTGTTATGTTATAGAGTATACGACAATACATTGTTGTGAGTGTTATGTTACAGAGTATGTGACAATACATTGGTCTAAGTGTTATGTTACAGAGTATGTGACAATACATTGTTCTGAGTGATATGTTCCAGAGTGTATGACAATACATTGTTCTGAGTGTTATGTTACAGAGTATACGACAATACATTGTTCTGAATGTTATGTTACAGAGTATACTACAATACATTGTTCTGAATGTTATGTTACAGAGAATATGACAATACATTGTTCTAAGTGTTATGTTACAGAGTGTATGACAATTCATTGTTCTGAGTGTTATGTTATAGAGTATACGACAATACATTGTTCTGAGTGTTATGTTACAGAGTATGTGACAATACATTGTTCTGAGTGTTATGTTACAGGGTGTATGACAATGCTCAAGCCAATGCCATCATGCAGAAGGCAATAACATGCCTGAACTTCTGGGACGGAATGTCGACTAAAAACAGAAACAAATTCTTGGACTATATCGCAAAGGAGTGTTCTCCACTCCAGGAGTATTATGATGATGACATGACAGAGGAGGGTGAGGAAGACATGAAAAAGGTCACCATACAAATCAAGGTATGATCACTCTCCCCCCTCCCCTACAAATCAAGGTATGACCACTCTCCCCCCTCCCCTACAACTCAAGGTATGATCACTCTCCGCTTGCCCTACAAATCAAGCTACATTGTATGTTCACTCTCCCCCCCTCCCTTACAAACAAGGTATGATCACCCTCACCCTCAACTACAAACAAGGTATGATCACTCTCCCCCTCCCCTACAAAAAAGGTATGATCACTCTTCCCCCTCCCCTACAAACAGGGTATGATCATTCTCCCCCCTCCCATACAAATCAAGGTATGATCACTCTCCCCTAACCCATCAAATCAAGGAATGATCACCCTCCACTAGCCCTACAAATCAAGGTATGATCACTCTACCCTAGTCATACAAATCAAGGTATGATCACCCTCCCCTAACCCTACAAATCAAGATATGATCACTCTCCCCTAGCCCTACAAATCAAGGTATGATCACTCTCCCTTAACCCTACAAATCAAGGTATGATCACCCTCCCCTACCCCTACAAATCAAGGTATGATCCCTCTCCCCACACCCCTACAAATCAAGGTATGATCACTCTCCCCCCTCCCCTACAAATCAAGGTATGATCACTCCCCCCCCTCCCATACAAATCAAGGTATGATCACTCTCCCCTCACCCTACAAATCAAGGCATGATCACCCTCCCCCACCGCCTACAAATCAAGGTATGATCACTCTCCCCACACCCCTACAAATCAAGGTATGATCACTCTCCCCCCCTCCCCTACAAATCAAGGTATGATCACTCTCCCCCTTCTCCTACAAACAAGGTATGATCACTCTCCCCTCCCCTACAAATCAAGGTATGATCACTCTCCCTTAACCCTACAAATCAAGGTATGATCCCCCTCCTCTAACCCTACAAATCAAGGTATGATCACCCTCCCCTAACCCTACAAATCAAGGTATGATCCCCCTCCTCTAACCCTACAAATCAAGGTATGATCACTCCCCCCCCCTCCCCTACAAATCAAGGTATGATCCCTCTCCCCCCACCCCTACAAATCAAGGTATGATCACACTCCCCTAACCCATCAAATCAAGGAATGATCACCCTCCACTAGCCCTAAAAATCAAGGTATGATCACTCTACCCTACTCATACAAATCAAGGTATGATCACCCTCCTCTAACCCTACAAATCAAGGTATGATCACATTCACCTAACCCTACAAATCAAGGTATGATCACTCTCCCCCCTCCCCTACAAATCAAGGTATGATCACTCTCCCCCTCCCCTACAAATCAAGGTATGATCACTCTCCCCCTCTCCTACAAATCCAGGTGTGATCACCCTCCCCCACCCCCTACAAATCAAGATATGATCACCTTTCCCCACCCCCTACAAATCCAGGTGTGATCACCCTCCCCCACCCCCTACAAATCAAGATATGATCACCCTTCCCCACCCCCTATAAATTAAGGTATGGTCACCCTTCCCCACCCCCTACAAATCAAGGTATGATCACACTCCCCCACCCCCTACAAATCAAGGTATAATATGAACCTCCCCCCTACAAATAAAGGTATGATCACTCTCCCCTTACCTCTACAAATCAAGGTATGATCACCCTCCCCTAACCCCTACAAATCAAGGTATGATCACCCTCCCCTAACCCCTACAATTCAAGGTATGATCACCCTTCCCCACCCCCTATAAATTAAGGTATTGTCACCCTCCCCTAACCCCTACAAATCAAGGTATGATAACCCTCCCCCATCCCCTACAAATCAAGGTATGATATCAACCTCCCCCCAACAAATCCAGGTATGATCACCCTCCCCCACCGCCTACAAATCCAGGTATGATCACCTTCCCCCAGCCCCTACAAATCAATATATGATTAACCTCCCCCACCCTACAAATCAAGGTATGATCACCCTCCCCCACCCCCT